GAATGCCAGCCTCTCCAAGAGAACAGGAACTCTGTCCCTCACGTGCACCCTTATAAGGGCAGATAACAGCCATTCAATATTTGTGTGGGGGTCAAGGAATGAAGGAACGGAGCTTGGGTTGCTGGGGGACCTGGACTTAGATAGCCTTTGGTATCTATTGTGAGTTGAATCATGTCCTCAGAAAGATGTTTAAGTCCTAAACTCTGGTACTTGTGAATGTGACCTTATTTGGAAATAGGCTCTTTGCAGATGTAATCAAGTTAGAATGAGGCCATATTGGAAAAGGCGGGCCCTCATCCAGTGACTGGTGTCTTTACAAGAGAAGGGAGAGGGAGACTTGGATACAGAGAGGCAGACACAGAGAGAGGGAAGACAGCCCTGTGAAGACAGCGGCAGAGATGGGAGTGATGCAGACACAGCCAAGGAACGCCTGGAGCCACCAGAAGCCAGAAGAGGTAGGAAGGATCCTCCCCTAGAGCCTCGGGAGAGAGCGCGGCCCTGCCCACACCTTGATTTCAGACTTGTGGTCTCCAGACTGCGAGAGAATAAAGTTCTGTTGTTGTAAGTCATCTTGTTGGTGGTGCTTTGTCATGGCAGCCCCAGGACACGCAGCCACTCTCCCTTTGCACTCTGGAGGTGAGGTGATGGGTAACCTCACGTCTCTCCCTCTTCAGTCTGTGCACCACTGTCGGGCTATTTACCACGCCCACGAGTCACTTATACATTTACTTACTAAATATTATTTACTTAAAGTATTGCTTAATATTTTTAAATCAAGTTCAGACCAACCCCTTTTTAAAACTCAGTCTCATCCTCAGCAATGGGGGCTGTGAAAGCATAAATTTGCTGCAATAACTGAGGCAGCTTTTCAACACCCTCTATAATCAATGCGTAACCCCTGGAATGAAACATGCTCAGCACTGCACCTAAAATCTGGCACACCGCCCAGAGCCTCGGAGCAGGCCAGTTAGGACGGGAAAACCAGTGCTTCGCTTTTGCTTTTCACCCCCAGAAGAAAGTGGCTGCAGACCTGATATTTCTCCGTCTGCTCTGGCTGCAAACCCCACGTCTCTCCTCCACCTTCCACCTCTGGATTCACACCTACCCCTTTCAGGAGGAAAACAGGGTTGTGGACCTGGGTGTGAAACTTCTCTAAACCTCCATTTTTCATCTGTAAAATGAGGATAAACACATCCACCTAATAGAGGTGTTGTGAAGGATAGATAAGAAAAGGACACATATTTTTTATTCCATTTGTGTGAAATATCCAGAATAGGCAAATCCATAGAGACAGAAAGCAGATTAGCGGTTGCCTGGGGTTTAGAAGGAGAGAGGAGTGGAGAGTGACTGCTAATGCGTATGGGGTTTCCTTTTTGGGCTGATGGAAATGTTCTGGAACTAGAAAGCGGTGATGGTTGCACAGCATGGTGAATGTCCTAAGTGCCACTGAATTTTACTTGCATACTTTGAATGATTAAAATGGTGAATTTTATGTTAGCTATATTTCACCAAAATTTATTTTTTAATTGGATAAGAAGCATCTGCCTGGGGTAGAACGACACTGGCCAAGGCTCTCCATCCCTCTGAGCCTCGGTTTCCTCATCTGCAAAATGGGGGTGTCGACAGAACCTACATCGTGGGTGGTTTACAGATTGCACCTGTTGGTCCTTAGGAATGGCCAGCATGTGGATGCCCTCCATCTACAGGCTGCCCCCCAGGACTGCTGGGAGGACTCGCCGCACTAATGCAGACAGAGCAGCTGATCTCAGACCATCAGCCAAGTGCCCACCCGATAGAGGCTTAGCAAGTGCCTCCCCCTTACGGTGTCTGCCATGTCGCCCGTTCCTGGCATTCTGACTCATCCTAACACATCAGACTGGGGCAGATCATATTTTAAACCCCAGTAGCCTTGTCTGAGCAATTGGGCACTCCAGATTTAATTCTGCAGGTAATTTGAACGATGCTATCTAATTTCAAAAGTCTCCGCTCTTATGAGTGCAAAAGCAGCATAATTTTTAATTAGTGGGTAAACAGGAAATAATAGATGGTGGTAAGTGGACACCACTGTTAATTAAAAATCCATGGTTGATAAAAATCAATTTGGCCCATGCATTTCACTCAGTCTGTCAGGTCCCTGTGAAAAGTTGTGCCACCCTGCCCCCCGCACCATCTGCTTTCAGTTGTTGCTCCTTTAGTTAAGACTTTTATAGGGAAGAAAAAAGGGAGGAAAAGAAAAGAAAATCAAAAAGCTACCTCAAAAGCTGCGACTGAAAAGACTTCAGGTATCCATTTATAATTGGTTGTTTTAATTTTTGTGACCTTGAAGCCAAAGCTTCATGAATGGCCGAGAGGCAACGTGACACTCCGCTCTGGCATTTTCACAAAGGTCTCCAGAAGTGTTTGTGTTTTGTGCTTTGTGTGTGCATGTTCTGAATACAGTGAGATTCCACCGTCTCTCGAAGTCTCCTGACTCAATTAAATCCTAATTTCTCACTGAGAAACAAGACCAACTAAAACACACTGAGCAGAAGCATACCATCAGAGGATTCGTGACAAAATGCAACGTGGCTAGCCATCTCTTCTCCGTGGCTTCAGAGGGAGTACAGGGGGAAAAGGCTTGTTTTCTTTTAAACAGGAAACATTTCCTCCGGCAGCCGAGCTGTGTGGAAACGATGCCATTATCATTTTCAGGCCACTCGCTATTTTGCTCTGAGATGGAAGCTTGGTTTTCCTACCAGGCAAATCACCTGGACCTCTTTTGGTCCTTTTCTCCTCTTTCCTTCCATCCCTCCTCCAAATCAACACTTCCTGACAGGTTCCGTGGACACCGGTGATGTTCAAATTAACCTGCAGAACTGAATCCAGGGGACCCAGTGTCTCCTGAGGAGTTGACTGCAGGAGCACAAGAAGGTGTAAGGTGTAGACGCGGCTGTGTAAGGTGTAGATGTGGCTGGGCGTGCGGCCCGACTCAGGACTCCCGATAGGGCTGTGCTGGGAGTGTGGCCCAACCTCACTGCCCACCGGCCCACCATGACGTCCTGGCTCTGTCCCAGAAAATTAGATGAGCCCAAGTTAACACGGAACCACTCTTTCCAGAGTCCTCTTGGCACCGTAGTCACTCTGCAGAGTGGTCCTGCGAGCCCTCGGGCAGTCGGGTAGGCACACCACAACCTCATTGGTTAGTTGTTTTCATTTCTCCTGTTTGGTTGATTAAAACCCATAAATCAGTTGTAGGATAAACCGGGAATATAGCAGGGACCCAGTGCTGCACCAGCATTTTTACTCATTCATTCATTCATTTGCTGAGTGCGGGGGCCCACCAAGTCTTAAAAACAGCCCTTGCCTCTTGCCTGCCACGCAAAACGAGCGACAGTTAAGCCATCAAGCTGGAGTCCAACGACGTGGGCTCGAACACTGGCTTTGTCACATTTGGGCAGCTCGTGCCCCAGTGCAACCTCAGCCCAGCTCGCAGAGCCTGTTTCCCTCCCGTAAAAGGAGGCTACCGCTAACGCCCATGTCAGAGTTGTGGCAAAGGCCAGAGAAAGACGCAGGGAGTCGAGACTCAGTTAAGGGGAACCATGTTGCCATCAGCATCATCACCATCAACATCGCTCTGTCTTTCTCAGCTGACCACTGGGGACCTCAAGAGTCTCCGGATGAGACCCCCAATCTCCAGGGAGGTAAGGAATCCACTCTGCCTCATTTTCCTGAGAAGCCGCCAGGGCGCAGAGTTTGGGGGCCACGTGCCCAGTCAGACAGCTGTGAAGGGGCAGGTGGGGACCCCAGGCCTCCCCAGGCCCTCCTTTCCTGAACCCGATGGGAAGATGTGAATGTCCGACAGGGGAGGGGGCAGAATGTATCATTCATTCGCTTCTCCACTCAGCCTGCAAGCCTTCCTGGGGCGTCCTGGACCAGCCGACATCTCCACCAGCCCCGGGCACCCCCTGACTCACTTGGGCCACAGGCTGGGTGGGAGAAGTGCCGTCGGAAAGGCCTGTTGCAGGCGCTGGGCCAGCGGGTGGCGGCGGCCGCTGGGAGCACAGCTCGCCGCTGGGATATCTGGAGGCTGCGCGCTGCCAAGCTTCCCACAGCACCCCGCCATCTGGGCTGTGTCGAGCCCGGCGCTCTGCGTGGGGATGACGGTTTCTGGGGGAATTGCTGCTCTAGCAGCTGAAGGCCCTGGTGCTCTCGCCTCTGAGCAGCCCCTCCAAGAGACTGTGAACCGTCCCACGGCTGGGCCTGGCCCGGCTCCACAAGATGAGCACATCTGGGAGTCATTCAGGAGAGCCTGGGGCCCTGGGCCCTGCCCCTGCTGCTCACAGCCAGCCTCCTCGAGGCCTCCGGTTCCTCCCCCGGCCCCGCATTGGCCTCGTGCATCAGCCTCGGCACCCACCACACTTATTGAGCACCTGCTGTGTGCCAGGGACTGGCCTGGGTCCCGCGGACGTGGAGATGGACAACACAGGGCCAGAGCACGTCTGGCCTGCTCCACGTGGCAGAGGTCAAGCAGACCTGGGCTCCTCGGTGGAGCGGGGCGGAAGTCCCACTGCCCCCAGCTCCTCCGTCTGCGTCTCGAGTGCCCCTTGTCCAGGAGTGCGGGGCGCCTCAGCCACCGCCCGGCGGTGCTCGGCCACAGCATGCGAGTCTAGCTGGGCACAGTGACTCCTGGAGGCCTCCCAGCCTGGGACCCTGGGGTGCTCTCCCTCCAGGAGGCTGGACTCCTTGAGAAAACGAAACATACGTCTGGGAATCCAGGAGAGGAGTCTGGAGGCTGATTCTAGGCACCCCGATTTGGGGAGCCCCTCACTGTCTCGGGGATGGCCTGAGGGGGCCTGGGTGCCCTGGGGAGGGACCAACGTGGAGGTGGAGGTGGGGACAGACCCCCGCCTGGCTCTCTGCTGCCCCCTGGGCTGTGGCCCCTTGGGCTGTGCGGGTGGGTGGGACAGGCTGAGGAGCTGGGGTGTGCTGGGACCGCTAACCAGGGTCTGTCTGCTCCGCAGCCCGCACTGCAGAGGCGGCTGGGACGGTAAGGGCTGGCCGCCTGCACTGGGAACCGCACTGCCAGCAGCCCCTGCCCCACAGAGCACCCGTCACCGCACTGCTGCCCCCACGCCTGGAAGGGCCCTGGACCTCCACTGGGTAAGACCCCGAGGTCACCCTGACCACAAGCCCCTGGGCTGGGAGACTTCACCCTCTCTGAGCCTCAGTGCCCACATCTGGGAAATGGGAATTCATCCAGTTGTCCAAGAGGCTTGCTACCATGTGCCGAGCACATGGTTTTGCTTGCCTCCCCACCCCACTGAGCAAGCCTGGGAGGCAGGGCCTGGGAGGCAGGGTCTGTGTGGGCATCATAACCCTGCCACAAACAGCAAACAGACGAAATCCATTTGTTCAGCATATTCAGAGCCTATTGTACCAGTACTTGTTGAGTACCTATTAGGAGCTAGGTACGAGGGTGCGCAGTGGGGACAAGCCCTAAACTTGCGAACACAGAAATAAGGAAGGTAAACTTGAGATGGTGCTAAGCTCTGCAGTGAAGGAAATAAAACTGAGGTTGTGAAAGCGAGTGACCTGGGAGGGGTCTTTTGAGAGTGGTCAGGGAAGGCTTCTTGGAGGTGGTGACATTCAGTTGAGTGCTGAAAGCAGAGGAGTCAGCCATCCAGAGAGCCAGGGCAAGAGCTAGGCAGAGGGAGCAGCTAGTGCAAAGGTCCTGAGGCAGGAAGTGGCAGGCCAGAGAGGACCCAGGTGTCTTGCTTGCCAGTCTAATTCTCTTTCTAACCTGACCAGCTTGCCTGATATTTCAGAGGCCCTGTTGCTGCTCTGGGGGAGAGGGCTTTGTGCTCTGCCCTCATTTGTGGGGCACAAACTCTACAACAGCCAGCTGAGTCCTCACTCCTGGAGTGGGGCTGGGGAAGAAGAGAGGCAGTGGCCTCCTCCACACCTAGCACATCCCTTCCTCTCCCGTCCTTTGGGCCAGTCCCGTTCTGGGGTCAGGGACTGGACTCTCCATGTCCTCCGTGTGCCTCCGGAGGTCAGGGAGAAACCTGGCTGCCAAACATCTGCTAGCACTCTGGGAGGAGGGAGGGGACTCGAACTCTGCAAAGCCACTGTGGATGCATTCCCAGGCTCCGCCCCCACCCGACTCCACAGTCCAGGTGGGATCCCGGCACCACTGGCCAGGGTCACTCTGAGACAGAACTGGGGCATAGAGAGGGTGGGGGCTGGGTGGCAGGCTGCTCTTGCCCCAAGACAACAGCATTCCAGAATGGTTCTTCTAGAAACTTCTAGAACTGTCTTCCTAGAAAGTTCCCCTTTGTGCTCTCCAGACAGGCTCTGCTGCTTCCTGGGAGTAGCGCAGGGAAGGATCCACAGTCTGGGAACCACCAAGATGTCCAGTGTGACCTGCTGCATCCCTTTAGACAAATCTCCCCCTCCCTGGCCTTGTCTGAAACACGGGTGAGGAGGGGGCTGGGGCCCACCCTCGGGCATGTGAGTCACCCCTCTCCATTTTTAACTGCCACCTCTACTGGTATTTCCTTACGATTTTTCTTTAAACCAACTTGCTTTTGTTTACTGAAATATATTCATTTATTTGTACAGCTTTATTGAGGTATAATTGGTATACAGTAAACTGCACACATTTACAGTGTACACTAATTATTTTTAAAGGAAGCATAATATCACCCTGGATACGGAGAGCAGAGCCGCTTGCCATAAATAGGAGGCAACTGTAAAGAGAAAGTCAATGAAAACAAACAACATAATTAAATTCTGCCCAGATTTGCTGCCTGCCTAGGGCCCCGAGTCTGTTCTCTCTGTGAGAAAAGGGAGGTTGGCGTTAAAGACACATTAGCTCCAATGGAGACTTGCACCTTCGTGTAATCAGAAAGATGGAAAGAAAACAAAAGGGAATTGTTTTTGCACTGGGTGAGAACACGTTTCCTCTACCCCAGCAGCCTTTGTATGAAAAATATCAAGAAAATAACAGCACAGGTGGTACCTGGCTAGAGTAACATTGTGAAGGGGGAACCTGCCTGCTCTTTTCCCCCCAGAACCCACCTACCGCCCACCCCATCTGAGCCCTCAGTGGAAAAGTCCCAGAGGCTCTGCTGCCCCCAGCCCAGAGTGTGCCTGTGGGTCTAGGAGTCATTTCACTTCCCTTTGCCCCCAACCCCACCTGTACTTGTTTTCCTCACCAGCAGAATAGGGGGAGGGGGCGCACCTGTTTTTGTAAATACAGTTTTATTGGCACACAACCATGCCCTCCATCTATACATTGTCTCTGGCTGCTTTAGCTCTAGAACCACAGCCCTGAGTAGTTGCAACAGAGACCACTTGGCCCACAAAAATATATGTCTTTATTATCCAACCCTTTACAGAAAAAGTGTGCTGAGCCCTGGTTTAGATGGACAAGGCTGTCACAGGCATGGATGGAACTTGGTCAGGCAAGTCAGCCTTGAGGAGGGAGCCAGAAGGAAGCGCCCACCATCCAGGATTCACTCGCCCAGGACAGGGAGGGTCCAGGCTAGCCGGGCTCTGGGCGGGTGCCGGGAATCCAGGGGGGAGAGCTCACGGCACAGCCTCCTCCGGTGGTGCAGGGCAGCCCCCGTTTCTTCAGCCCCTCCCCGCCCGCCACTGTGCTGGACGTGTCCCGGAAGCCCCGACGGTGGGTGTGACAGCCCCATGTCACAGAGGAAGGAGCAGGCATTATCCAGGCTCACGGTCCCAGTGGGGACAGAAATGGGATTTGAACCCAGGTCCTCTGGCTGCAAAGCCTGCGTGCTTCTCCGGCCAGTAGGGACCCTCAGGACCCACAGGACCCAGGCCCGAGGAAGGAGGCAGTTAGGACTGGATGGAAGGAGAACCGGAAGGCTTCTGCTGAGGCCACAGGCATTGAGTGGAAGGCCCCCAGGCCGCAGGTGGGGCTAGGACGAGTCAGGGAAACTGAGGCTGCAGGGGCCCGGCCCTGAGCTGAGGCCCGAGGTGCAGGCTGTGGGCGTGGAGCCAGGCCGGGGAGAGGGCCCGCGCGTGCGCCCACTGCTCTGCCCAACCCCGGCTCTCCACCCCCGCAGCTGCGAGGTGCGCCCGGGCCCGGAGTTCCTGACTCGCTTCTACACCTTCTACCGCCCCCACCTCTTCCGAGCCCACCAGTTCTACTACGCCGACCCCTCGTGCCGGGAGCCCGCCCACTCCCTGCTCATCAAGGGCAAGCTGCGCCTGCGCCGCGCCTCCTGGGTCACCCGGGGCGCCACCGAGGCCGACTACCAGCTGCACAAGGTGGGCGTCGTCTTCCACAGCCGCCGCGCCCTGCTCCAGCTCGCCAGGCGCCTCAACCAGACGCGGGCCGGCCGGGCCTGCGCCCGGCAGCTGCCCCCCGCCCGGGCCTGGCTGCCCGGGGCCCTCTATGAGCTGCTGAGCGCCCGGGCCGAGCGGGACTGCACGGCCGCCCTGGGCTTCAGCATGCACGAGCTCAGCCTGGTCCGCGTGCAGCGCCACCTGCAGCCGCAGCCCCGGGCCCGGCCCCAGCTCGTGGAGGAGCTGTACCTGGGGGACATCCACACGGAGCGGGCAGAGAGGCGGCACTACCGGCCCACCGGCTACCAGCGCCCGCTGCAGAGCGCCCTGGTGAGTCTGGGGCCCCGGCCCGCAGGCCCTGTGTGATCTGGTCCCTGCCCAGGGCCCTCTCTGCCCACTCACTCTGGTCTGCTTGCCTCAGGACATTTGCACATGCTGTTCCCTCTGCTTGAGACATCTTTTCTCAGGTCTGTACAGGGCTGGCTTTTTCCGGAAGGAACCACTGTTCAGCCTGCCCACGTCTGATCCTCCTGACATCCTCTTCGTGGGCCCTGGAGGGTCTCTTTCCGCCCTGCTGGGCACGTGGGCTTGGGTAGGTTCACCTTCCTCAGTTCTCAGCACCAGTGTTCCCTCCAACCCCCACTTGGCACATTCCCCAGCACTCAGCATGCCCTGGGCTGCACTGTCTACTTGTTTATTGCCTTCTCTCCCTCTAGAACTAGACCCTCCACAAGGGCGGGGCCTGTACCCCTCTGTGTCCCCACACCTAGCCCAGGGTCTGGCAGACAGTGGAGGCCCATAAATGTTGGTGAATGAACTCAGGAAAGGCAGCCTTCCTCCAGGGCTCTGCTGGGCACCCACACAGCCCTCGGAAGGCCCCCCTCAAAAGCTCGTGTGGGGAATAGACCTCCTTGTTGACCTGGAGCCGGAGGCATTGAGCGCGTCCCTTCTCACTAATGTCGGGGGGAGCAGCGCTTCTCGGCCTCTGACAGTGCTCATGATACATCACCTGGGCATCTTCTCAGCGTGCAGAGTCGGGTTCCGAGGGTCTGGGTCACGGCCTGGGATTCTGCATTTCTCACAAGCTCCCAGGTGGTCCAGGGACCGCCCTGTGGGCAGGAGGCTGCAGTCTAAAGGGAGCTGCCCTGTCTGAGATGCATCCCCCGCAACACACACTCCAAAGTGAATTTCACTTACGCCGATGAACTTAAATTTTAAATTAAACCATCACAAACATACTGTCCCGATTTGGGCAGGACCTGGTAGCCCTGTCTTGCCGGATGAGCACACAGAGAGAAAGAAACTGAACGTCATTTGTGTAATGTGCTCCAGGCACACGGCACAGAGCCTGGCCAGCACGAGGTGGAGCGTGTGACATCTCCAGTGCAGCTGGCGAACCTAAGGACCCCTCCTCAGAAAAATGATTGTAAAAGCATTAAATAAAATACATCAGGGGCCGGCCCTGTCGCCTAGTGGTTAAGTTTGGCGGGCTCTGCTTTGGTGGCCCAGGTTCCGTTCCCGGGCATGGACCTACACCACTCGTCGGAGGCCATGCTGTGGCGGCAGTTCACACACAAAATAGAGGAAAGAGCGGCACAGATGTTAGCTCAGCGGCAATCTTCCTCAGCAAAAAAAATAAATAATCAAAATAAAATACATCAAGGGATGCCGGGCACCAAGGAGAGGAGGAGAGGAGTCAGGATGGCGGCGTAAGCAGACTCGGAACTCACCTCCTCCCGCGGACACAGCCAATTTACAACCACTCATGGAAAAATTACCCCTGAGACAGAACTGAAAACTGGATGAGAGGAACTCCTGCAACAACGGACAATCCTAACTGAGGTGGAAGAGGCAGA